TTTTGTTTGGCACAAGCTCAACAGGGTATACAATGTATACAGATGTATACAATGCTTCACGTCACTCCCCGCAAAGCTCAGCCATGCAACAAGAAACTCAAATGGCTCACCCTAGATATACAGAAAGGCACAGTCCAGCTTACGTTTTTAATTTTTCTATCTCTCCAATGAGTTTTCCCGTTGCAGCACATGTTGTTCAGCGTGATGTTCCACATTTCGTTCCACGTGCTGGGAGCTTCTTGAAGAACTGGAACGTCGGACATCATGCTGAAAAAACTGGAAACACATCGGAAAGCAATACGGAAAAGCAACCCATTATGCGTTATTCAATGTTTTGGCAAAGAGTGCTTTCATATCACAAACTTGGCATTATTTTTTTAACCTAATTTCTAACATTGATTTAATTAACAATCCATTATTTCCTTCCAATAAACACTTCATCTATCCAACGTATTATTTACCTACAATATCGTACTTATAAATGTGAAATGGCATGATTAGAACAAATATCCAGAACACTATAGCTGGCATGCAAAAATATGCATACTTATAATTGTAGACATCCCTGCCAAAACATGGCATTTCATGTAATACTTGTACTCATTCCCTCTCCTGGAATGTTTTCAAACAATAATTTTAAGGTATGTAACGAACTTGCCATGCAATGTTTCAAACAATATAACCTTGGATTTCAAATAATTTCCTAATATCATGAAAATATTTTTCAGCATTCAATACAAGGGGCAAAACTTATTTTGTGTATCATTTACAAGCTAGGAAGCTAAAGGCCTTATGTAAAATAAGAACTAAGGGGCCGTCCATAAATGACGTCACGCGATTTTGGACGATTTTAACCCCCCCCCCCCCCCCCCTGGTTACACGGCGTCACAAAAAGTCAGACCCCCCCTCAAATATGATGTCACAAAGCTCTGCCCCCCCCCCCCCCAAAATGAAACATGCTTCAAATCGCTTTAAAATATTGTCATTGCAGTGCGTATTTAATGTGGCGCTGCACTCTGATGTTGTACGAGAAAACATTTGTTAAAAAGTATATTTAATTAAGTAGAACGTGTTGTCGATATTTATTTAAAGTTGCGCATTTTGATGTGACGTCACATTTCTCAAACCCCCCCCCGCCTCGTCACACATCGTCACAAATGTCTGACCCCCCCCCCCCCCTAGGTGCGTGACGTCATTTATGGACGGCCCCTACACACCTGTAACAAATAAAGATATCACATTCCTGGTCGACTCAACTTGGACAAAATGTGAGTTGGCAGTCCGTCCCTTTATTGGTCCGTCCACTTTCACATAACCATGCCCACTCATCCACTCGTGCCACCCGCACAGTGAGTGGCCTTACTGCGTTCTTTCTTACATTGGCTACGCCTACAACTCATAGGCCCCCATAGAAAAGGTTGTTTTGGGTTAGATCGCCTAAATATAAATGTCGTTAAACCCACCACCACCCGACACAGCAAATTAGCGAGGTTTGTTACGTAAACAAAATATGCCAATTAGTTACTACTTCAGAACACCGGTGTATTGAAGAGTAACCCACAACATTTACAATTCTAGTACAACGTTTCACTGGTGATTACAACAAACTTCATCAGGCAATAACTAGAATTGTGAAGAATTCCTTCTGTTTCGATCTTAGAGGGAGTAATGTCATCACTGCGCGAAGACAAGAGAGGGGTTAACGTAGTCAAATATGTAACAATGGATCTTGTTAATATGAGAATGCGCCCAATTATTGGTTGAGTTATTCAAAGTTAATTAAAATACATTATGTTGATCTAAGAGAATGCAGAGAATGTGCAGTACCTACATAGGCCTCGCCTGCTCCACTGCCAACCCCACCCACTATTCAGGTCGCCTCGCTCATGACATCATGAGTCAAGCATGAAACCAGGATATGTAAGACCGGGGACAAATATCCAATTTTCCAACAAATGCTGTTAGGGGACACCGGGACGCTCTTTCCGTAATCCTGTCTCAATAAATTTGCGACATTTGGTGGCTTGAGCAACGAAGCACCGAGTGGAATTTGGAAGCACACATTTAAGACTATTCAAAGACTCTTATGTTGCACACTCGAAATTAAGGACGTGGGAAGGTGCTCCAAATCGAGGGCAAACACATTTATTGTGGTTAATCTGTAAAATGCAACGGCACGTGTGTCACGCACAGCAATCTTCAACCGAGTCGGCATTAACCATGTGACTGGTGTACACGTCCGGTAAATCAATAACCCTGCCAGCCCCCTACAGGCCCAACTCTGTTATCGCCTGCTGGTGTACACATGCATCGATGAACTGCACAGCACATCCAGGACCTTCACAAAACCACACTTTACGCCAGGGGTGGGGAACCTTTTTTCTGCCAAGGGCCATTTGGATATTTATAGCATCATTCGTGGGCCATACAAAATTATCAACTTAAAAATTAGCCTGTTATATTGGGTCAAACATTTAATTAACTCACCCCTAATGCGATGGCTGGAACTGCTTCTCTTTGGCGAGGCGTGTGATGCTAGCTGGTATTGATGATGTTGCTACTCGCAACTGCTTTTCCAGGTTTGCTCCGAGATTTATTGAATTTCGGGTCCCGCCTTGGCAGGGCCAGACCAAATGATTTCGCGGGCCTCGTAATGCCCGCGGGCCGGACGTTCCCCACCCCTGCTTTACGCCCTTGCTGCACGAGGAAATAATAAAAAGAGTGGTCCATTCCTAATGTGCCACACTTAGCATAATTTATTATGCGAAATAAAACACCGACATATACCGTGTATTAGTATGCACCTTGTGCCGCAATTATATTTTCGGCCAACGATCACATTTATGATGTCTTTTTACATTTTCAAAGGGCTGCCATGGAAATTTACATCCAAAGCTTGGCTCCCGCTTGTAAAGGCAAATCATTAAAATGCGAATAGTGCCTTGTCTAGCACCAATTATTTATTTTACCTTAATTTAAATGTACGTCTCAGGGGGCGGCAAATCCGGTTGAGGACTATGACGATGTGAAGCACCAGGCTGTGGATGAACGGATAGCCTTGCTACCTTCAAGCTTGACATTGTATTAAGCTCCGCATTGAGAAACCTGAACCCTCCGTTCAATACATCATTTTTTTATTTACTGTACCGTATAACACCATTTTTTTGCAAATCCATTTCGCTTCTTTAGCGTTCTTTGATTTGTAAAAAAAGGGCCAATAGCGCCACCGCGTGTTTTAACAGCAGCACAGCCGAACTTCAGTGCCCATTTAGGCAATTAGGATGCGCATCGCAACCCACCATGGGATAGGTTTTGATGTCACGGAATAATGCATTTTGTTCATCAATAGCAATTCTCGTGGTTCACGGTACACGCATGGAATCCTGCAACGCGAAAAACGTACATGCGAGCAACGATCGCTGTCACACCCAAGGGTGGCACAGTCGGGTTTTTTTTACAATCGGGTTTAATTGTCTTTTCATTTTAAACCCGATCTGAGATTGGGTGAAATCCGGTTTAATTGGTTCTAAATGCAGAACCGCACTTCGCCAACTTCTCAACGATGGGCTTCATCCATTCCAAGCTAAGGAACTCACTGGCACCCACGATTGTGGAGAAGAAGCTCGTGTTCATCAAGACCAACCTGCCCGCCGCATTCTACGACTACCTCGTGCCCAATGGCCCCGAGTACTATAGCAGCACCGACGAGGAAGCAGCCTAAGCCTTGGATCAGAGTTTCGTATTCATGAAACCAGGTTTTAATTCCCGAAATCGAGTTTAATTGTATTAAAGAAAAAATCCGATGCCTGCCGCTGGAAAAATCGGGTTTTTTCCACGCATGGTCGCACCGAGTCGATGACTGCGGGCAGAATCCAAGCGGACCGTGGCGAGGACCAGCGGTAGCGCGTTTGCCGCTCGTTGCAGTTTTCACGGTTCGAATCCAGCGGCCGCCCTGCTCATTAGCTGCGAGTGTAAAAGCCATGTAACGTGCCGCCGATTTTGAACAAATAAAATGGAAAGTTAATGGGTCGGCATGCCTGTATAGCATTTCCTACAATTTGGACTCATACATGTGAATATCTTGATTTTTAAAAAAAACTTGCCTTGCATTGAATTTTTGTCAGAGGCTTTCGATTTTCGCCGGAGTCTCCTCTGCATGGTTTCCTCTAAAAGCTTGGATTACGTTGCCACCCCAATCCGTATTAAGGCACGCTATGCAATGCGGTTTTATTTTCTTCTCCCAGTTGCCTGTATCGATTGTAATGCATACCAATGATATTGAAATACTTTGGCTCCTGGAGCAAACAAAACTTTACACAGGTATTAAAACATTTAGTAAAAACAGGAATCTATTCTTGAATCATGACGAATTGTGAAAATTAAAAAATTGCTAGTGGTTAAGCATTACATTACAGAAAATAGCCAACCATCTCAAGTACACAGAATTTTTAACGAGTATGGCTTTTTTACAATATTTATAAATCAGGTCATACTAGACAGATGTTCTAATACAATAACATCACTATTCAAAAACTATTTTGCATGTATGCTACATGTTTGTGGCTTCTAGCATAACTCAGTGCTCAAGGGCAATTGCAGAAATTCCATGACTCCATGTATCTGTATTTTGATTTGCCCATTGTTTTCCTCATGCATACAAATAGCAAAACACAATCAACACAGGAACAACTTCTTGGTTCTTTCGGTAAAGTCACGTAGAAGGGAAGTAATAAAATAATAAAAATAAAACATAAAATAATTATCACGTTTCGGCCACAACGCAAGCAGCCGTCCTCAGGTGAAAACCAGGTCGGGGAGACAGCAACAGACCTGGTTTTCACCTGAGGACGGCTGCTTGCGTTGTGGCCGAAACGTCGTGAGAATTATTTAATTATGTTTTATTTTTATTATTTTATTACTTCCCTTCTACGTGACTTTACCGAAATAACCAAGAAGATGAATCCCTGCAGCCACGAAAGCTTTAAATCGAAACACAGGAACATGTTTTAAACATTTATTAGAATTATATACAGTATGAATGCTCATCAACCGAATGGAAGTTTGTTCCACAAAGTTTGCATTACAGTAATGCAGTGAGCACATAAAAAGCCAGAAAATAATGGACTATGTCTACACGTTATTAACCTTCGAATCAAAAAGACCAAGATGTTTCTGCACGAATACTTTTCCAATGTTTAGTTTGAGTTTGTCTCAAGTCTGAGCCACAGGAAAGTTTTCTTTTGGCTCAAGTTGTCCAAATACATAACTTGCATACAATGCAGCCGAGTGGACCCTCTTCAAACAATCCACTCTGCCCAGATTTTGTGCAGCCAAACACAAGTATGAGCATCGTATAAAGAAAAGTTTGTAAACGTCCTCATTCCTAGCAATTAATGTCATTTTCATTAAGGACAGCTGTAAAAATGCCTTAAACAACCCATAGTACCACCTTGTTTACATAACAATTTCTCTCCATGAATGCAATGCAAACCTTTCAATTTCAACAATATTTAAAAGCAGTTTTTTCCTTATGCATAATCAATACTTTCAGCCATTGATTTCATACATTAATGCCTCCAATAAACAATTCATATCCAACATTTAGATGCTAGAAAAAAGCCGTACATGTCTAGACACTTTGTTCATAAGTGGAGGAAAACACCACGTAAGCCGATCAAAAGTATGCCTGGATGTTGTGCGAGTGCTTAATTATGTTTATTCATCTGACATTTGAGCAACATTTCCTTAAAAATTCCCACTGTTGTGTTGCTACAGGCCCAGGCAGGGCCATGCACTAGGCGTCTCCTGCTGGAGTGACTTGGCTGAGGCGTCATTTGGTCTGCAGGACCACAAGTGGCGGAGGGATGGAGGGAGTGAAGAACACGTGAAAGTTGGTGTGGGCCTTGATGGCCAAGCATTCACTGTTCCGTCTGGTGGGCATCCCCGACACCCGGAGCAACTCCCTGTCCTTTGTTGACGTCACTCACGCACACCCACTGGCCGTCCACAGACTCCTTCCACAGGCTCACCTGCAAATTTGGCACATCACATTCACACAGTTGAACTTAGTGCTGCAAGACAGCGTGGACAAAAATGACAGAAGATATAATTTAGTCTGATATGCTAACAATCTTTGCTAGCATGTTAAATTGTCTGGTTACATATCTAAGTAAAATAATTACATGTGGTTTAGTATCTGCTTTGATTTATCAAATAACACATACGAATTGCTTGTAATGCTCTTTCATCCAAGTTATGCAAGAGTTAACTATGCAGTAATGCTACTACTCTAAAACCAAGCAAGCATCAGCCACTGTAGTGTAATAGAACAAAACAATACAAATCATGCTGTAGGTGTTTTAAACCACATGTTGCAAATTCACCTTGTTATCTCCACCAGAAACAGCCAGGATATTGCCAGTGATGGACCAGCTAACATGCCACACAACATCATTGAACTTGTGGAGGAGCTTGGGTGCCCAAGAGCTCTCGGACAAATCGTCACACGTCCAGATGAAAACGCGACCATCCTGTATGCAGTAGAGTGCATTGGAGGAAATTCAACAACATGCTCGTTTGTTTCATGGAAGCCTTGTTTTAAGAATTACTGTCATTCTGGTGACCATACTTTTGAGCATATATAAAAAAACTCACCACATTCATCAGAGCCAGTGTCCAAAACATTCACCTTTTGTACATTTTTCTTTTGTATGGCAGTGTCAATGACAAAGATAGTGATATACATTTGCTTTGTGTGTGTACACAATTACCAATGCATGTGTGCTTTGAAAAAATAAAGCATATATAGAGGATGCATAACTGATTCATTGCAAGCTACGAAGAACTGGACATCACCTGTGAGCAGCTGGCGATTGTGCTGACAGGGAGACCGATAGAGGGCGCCCACGCTACATCGCGCACCCAATCGCTGTGTGCCTCCAGCTTCTGTTCCTCCTGCCACTGGCCATCCTCTTCCCTGAAAAAATCAACACAGACAAAACAATTCCGTCATTGCAAGATATCTCTGTCGAAGAAGCATCACTCGATTATCGAGTCACACGCTGGGAAAACCTCATGGAAATACTTACTTCCAGATCTTTATGAGATTGTCGCAGCCTCCCGATACGAATCGACGAGTAAGCGCAGGTTTTTGGCCAGAAGGCTGCTCCAATAAGCTCCCAGGAATGACTGCAGGAGCCCAGCTGACAGCATTGCACCCAATCTACAATCACAGTGGAATTTTGTTGTAATTTAATGACAGAATACGACATAAATACGACATAAATGTTTTAAAGCAATGTTTTTTTAAACAAACAACAGAATATAAGAACACTTGTCAGGTGCACATATCTCTACATGAAGCAAATGTAACTTACTGTGTGAGCATTGCTAACTTTCTTGGCCTCCCAGGTACCATCAGCCTGGCATGACAGCACGGAGATGCACCCATCGGAACTGCCACAGGCCAGAACCAGACCGAACTCATGGGGAGCCCACGATACAGAGTTCACTGAAAGTGGAAGACAAAGATACCACTCCATATTATTTTAAAGCATCTTGTTATACCATTGGAACCTCCTTTGCCAGTAGCAAAATATGATAATTGTTTTTTTACCCTTTTATCTGGCAACAAAACTGACACCTTTTTTACAAGGAGTCATGTTTGCATTGACCACAATACCTGCGGTCGGAATGTAAACCAAAAACACAACTCTGATAATGTATGCACTGTCCTTGAAATTGATTGGTCCACACCCGAGACAGCTTTTCTTAGAGCCTAGTTTCACATGGTCTTGGACCAGATGACGCCAAAAGGCACCTTTTGGCATCAATTTTGTTGCCAGATAAAAGGGTAAAAAACCAATTACCATCTTGTTATACTTCAAAACCTTGAATTAGAGACCTCAGGTGGTACACAGGAGATTGATTTTGTACTATATTCTTGATTTGATGAGAAGCCAGTGGAAGGTTTTTAGCATAGCCATATAAGCCATATAGCCATGCCTAACAGGAAGGACGGCGTATGACAAGTTGTTTTTAATATGTAGTATCATATTTACGGTCATCTGTACTACATCCTTTATACCGTCTCAATGATACTATGACACCATCGTTCTCATCTGTACTGTCTGTCGTATGATTATGGTTAAGTGTGGGTGGCGGTGGCATATGGCAGTGGTGGAATTACCAGAGGAGTCGTGCCCGGCATACTCGTGCAGTTTATCCCATTTCCCATTTTCCTCTCGCCACACAATTACTTTGCGATCGTATGAACACGAGGCCAGCACGCTCCCAAACATAGGGTGCGACCACGCCACCTGCCACACCGGACCCTCATGGCTGCAGAAACAAAACCACAGCGGTGCAATAAAATCAACATGAATACAATGAGCTATTTTTTACCCAGGAAAGCCACTTTGAGTCTCAATACTATTCTTCAGAAAGATTCTGAATCAGAACATTTGGCTCTTTTAAAGGGGTATTTCATGAGTAAACTGAAGTGTCCCATGAAAAACAAAGAAGCCATCCTATACAATACAATTTAGATTGAGAGTGTCTAAATGTGATACAATATCAAGCTGCTCTACAAAAACAGTGGCCATATTAGTTTTATAGTGAAGCAAAAACAGTGAGCATATTCATTTTCTAGTCTGTCATAGGACGAGGAAGAAAAAAGATAAGCTTTTGTGGATCGACTTGGATATGGTTAGACAGTCAGTAGCATGCATGTGGGAGAAGAGAGTTCCAGGCAGAGGGTCTTGAGACCTCCCATTAAATGAAGGTGGACTGGGGGCTTCTAAAGACAACCTAAGTTGCTGGAGTGGAGGGTGCACGGCAGGGGGGGGGGGGGGATAGAGCAGAGGTCGCAACCGGGTACCCGATACCCGTACCCTACCCGATACCCGGCTACCCGTACCCAGCCGGGTACGGGTACGGATACCCGTTTGCGACCCTGGTGCGGCCGGGTACGGGTACCCGTTTGCGACCCTGGTGCGGCCGGGTACGGGTAAGGAATCAAAACCCGTTTGCGACCTCTGGGATAGAGTGAGGTTAGAGAGGAGGGGGAAACATGGAGCCTTCTCAAGTGAAATGATCCAGGATTAAATTGGGAGTCAGTGGAGGGATCTTGATTTGGCCTCGTTTATGGGTGTGGGCACATGAATTCTGGATCATCTGAAATTTTTAGTTCGGAATTTGGGGAAGCTGTAATGGGGAATGTCATAATAGTTATCGGGATGTTATGAAAGCATGGACGAGGGTATCAACTACTGTTTAAAAGTCTCCATATATTCACATCTGCCCACTTTGCAGCCCAGAGGGTTTGGCAGTTTCACAAATGTGTGATCTGCTGTGCCTGCAAAGTGCTGGATTAAAGCTGTGCACCACAACACTTAGAAGGAATGAGAAAATATGGAAAATGTTTTTGGAGATTGTTCAAGTGCCTTACCCCCTGAGATCGGCAGCGAGGATTTGCCCTCCATTCTTGATGTCGAAAATTTTGACCGATCGGTCGGAAGAGCAAGTGGCAAGGCGGGTACCATAGTAATCCATCTGGGCGTCATGCTGACAGGGGACAAAAAGAGCTAACACAATCCACCGTACACTAAACTCACCAACATTTTTTTATAACAATGCGTGCGTGCTGGTACAAAACAGTTCGGTTATGATTATACGACAGCTGCCGATGGCACAGACACACCAAAGATGCCATTAGACAACCACTGCTACTCACAATCATGTCCTCGTGAGAAGTATCAACGGTATTTATTACAGAAACCTGAAATTGAAAAAAAAATCATTAATGTCGGTGAGTATTCAATGAGCAGATTACAGCTGTCGTGTACGTGTTGAAAACCACCATATCTCGCCTCAACACCCCACAGGGAATTCTGACCCCTCTCTCGAACAGGTCTGACTTAATTTCAATGAAATAATGATTCAAAAGTTATCAAGCAAAGTTAAAACTGGGCAAACGGGTCTTGCGAAACTTAAGTTCACACAATCGCAGTATAGAAGACTGCAAGAATAACATGTAATATTATTTTATTTATAGAAGATACAATTTATCTACATTTAAATACGTGTCCTGCATAGGGATGTTTGTGCCAATTCCATTCATTAGTGATTGGCAAATGGAAGAAACCAGAGAAAACCAACGACGTTGTTTACACATTCTTGAGCTATACTGTACACGTTGCATTCATGAATATATTCTGAATTCTGTGACAGCACTTCACTATTAATATTTACTGTAACTATGCAATGCCTTATTACACTGTATTAAAAAGTGTTTTTTATACATCATACAAACGATATACCTTAAAGCGAGTAAAAATCTGACAAGGTGGTGCTGCTGCCTTTTAATAACGCACTGCTCAAACTCACAAGGCAGCCGCTTCACATCACACTCGATGGTCGATAAAACGCACGGACTAAATTGTCACGGGAAGAAAAATGCTCGTTTCGCATGAAACCCGAGCGCTGTACAGCATACATTAGAGCATCTCACCACGCTTACCCGAGCGAATACACACTTCCAACTTTATTAAAGCATTAATTGTATTATTAATGGTTATTATTCCACGTGTCTCAGACGCTGTCAGGCGAGGCCTGCACACTCAATAAGCCTCCCGGTCGCTCAGGCAATCTCGTAAAAGCCCCCCCCTACTCTGCACCGATTTTAAACACAAATGTAACAAACAAACAAAAAAACAAGAACGTACCATGACGATGCGAGGCGGCGCACGAAGAGCAATTAAAAGAATCACGTTGATGAGTTTAAATTAAAAAAGAATCGCCGGTGCCGAGCTGCGAGTTGGGAGCAGAATCCGGATGAGCCGGGAATGGACGTGGCAGACCAGAAGCCCCGCTTCACATTTCCCAGCGCGGATAAGCGGCGCCGCTCCTCGTCCAATGAGCGGCCGAGCTGCATGCGTATGCGCGCTATGAAATCGAGCGAGTGTGTTGCGAAATCGATGTTTATGCGTGTTGCGAAATCGTCTGCTGTTGTCACCTTGGCTCGAGTTATTATGAAGCATATTTATTATAATTTATTATAGCACATTTATTATAATTTAATATAATACATTTATTATAATTTATAAATTATATTATAATAAATTCTTATAAATTTGCTGTTTCAGACTGTGTTGTCACTCATTCGTGTGTTCAAAAAAATATATTAGTGCCGTTGCTATACCTATGACTGTGCCTGATATGGAATTACATTTGTTGGTTGCGTTTTGATTATGTTGTACGTGCTGGTGGTGTATGATTCTGACACTTAATTCGTTATGGGTGCAAACTTGTGTACTACTTATTTTTATTTTTTTAAGTTTTCAGGTTAAATGTATTTGGTATAGCCCTGTGAGCCATTCGGCTCTTGAATCGGGTGCAACCACAACAAACAAAAAAAACATGAACAAAAAAACATCTTAAAGTGATTCATAATCAACGTTTTTGGGTTTAGATCGCGTTATTTATAAATGTGTCGTAACCCTCCACCACCCGACACGGCCAATCAGTAAAAAAAAGTGTCACGTTGACAAAAGACAAATAGTTCACTACTTTAGCCCACCGGTGTGTTGAAGCGTGAAACCACAACACTGCTAAAGCAGTGAACTATTTGTCTTTTGTCAACGTGACACTTTTTTACTGATTGGCCGTGTCGGGTGGTGGAGGGTTACGACACACTTATAAATAACGCGATCTAAACCCAAAAACGTTGCTTATGAATAATATTGGTCGCGAAAGCCTACGTGTTACGCTGATCTTAAAGTGACTATGCGCCAACAGAAAAATCTAGGAAAAAAACAGCAAAAAAATCTTCCAGAAAAAAGCACCATACACCAACGCTCTGTGCAAAAATCCCAGTTGGATGAAAGTCAAACAACAACAACAACAACCACAAGACAACTTAGATTAAGGCCATCAGTCTAACTCCGTACTACAACAAACAAACATGGACAAACCAAAAAAGTTTTCGAAATCCCCAAAATAAAGCCATAAAAGCAATGTAACAGTGATCATATGAACTATGGGACTGGGTGGGGAGGGGCTGGTCACCCCGTGGTGCCCTTGTAAAACTCAACGTTTAACCTACTCACGCCGGCTTATGCCCGCCCTCACAGTCGGGAATATTTTGCGGAATACACCACGCCGCCGTTGACCCTGGCCATTGACCGAGCAACCCAACGTTCCTACCAGCTCCCTCCGCAGGAATGTGTTGTCTCCGTGAACCTCGCTTCTTTGATTCCTCCACCCATATTGAGGACTCGGTCTTCCAAACCGACTGTTTCATCTCATCCATGATGTGTGCAACCACCACCACACTGCCGGTCACAACAACACACTTACTCACCAACTAAAGGGCCGTCCATAAATGACGTCACGCGATCTTGGACGATTTTTGATCCCTCCCCTCGTCACACGGCGTCACAAAAAGTCAGACCCCCCTCAAATTTGACGTCACAAAGCTCTGCCCCCCCCCCCCCCCCCAATTTTACATGCTTCAAATCGCTTTAAACTATTGTCATTGTAGTGCGTATTTAATGTGGCGCTGCACTCTAATGTTGTAGGAGAAAACATTTATTTAAAAAAAAGTCTATTTAATTAAGTAGAACGTGTTGTCTATATTTATTTAAAGTTGAGCATTTTGATGTGACGTCACATTTCTCACCCCCCCCCCCCCCTCGTCACACATCGTCACAAATGTCTGACCCTCCCCCCCCCTAGGTGCGTGACGTCATTTATGGACGGCCCCTAACTCCCCGCACTGCAGTCACAAACACTTACTCTATTCCCTTGCACTGCTCAACTTGGGAATTTCCACCTACCATGGTCTCATGTCCCAACCTTGCTCAATTCAACTCTGATAGTGCTGCTTGTTGCTGGCCGCTTGACGTTTTGGTTCAGCTGGTCACTGCTGGCATCACTACTGGACATCTGTGAAAAGAGCTTTACAGCTCATCGGATTCCTACGGTAGAAAGAAATATTCTCATTCCCGATTACACCATTGGCCCATACCCACTTAATAATTAAAGGTGTATCCGTGGTCTATAACGCGAACTGAAACTCACAGCTTCCTTAGTCACGGAATCACTCCGAAACAACACGATTCCTCCTCTCCGTCCACCAGAATGAATCGACCAAGATAAAATTACAGGGTACAATAACCATCTTCTTGGTTCTTTAGGTAAAGTCACGTAGAAGGGAAATAATAAAATAATTAAAATAAAACATAATAAAATAATTCTCACGACGTTTCGGCCACAACGCAAGCAGCCGTCCTCAGATGAAGAACAGGTCTGTCGGAAAGACAGCGTCTGAATGAATTATTTTATTATGTTTAATTTTTATTATTTTATTAATTCCCTTCTACGTGACTTTACCGAAAGAACCAAGAAGATGAATCCCTGCAGTCACGAAAGCTTTAAATCGAAATACAACAACCATCGTCAACAGCAGCAGCAGCTGCCATTCTCAATCCACTGCTGGAGAAAGCCTTCCACAAGTCTCACGATGACGCCATGTAACTCTCCAACTCAGCGGGTACCACCTGCACGCGAGCTGATTGTTGTTATCGATCCATCTCCATCCAATGCCACTACACGTCATTATTTAAATTTAAAAAAAGATTCAAGTCACCCGCGTTACGCCCTCTAATCTGTGTGTTCTTCTTTCTGTCTGTCGGTGTTAATTCCAATTTAGTTTATTTGGAAAATAAGTTTATTATATTTTTTGTAAACATTTTCCTTCGTTACCCCCTCCCCATCTTCGTGTGTGGGTCCTTTCTGCCAACAGTGGGTTGGGCGAACAGTTGCAGGAGCTGCGCCTTTACGTGAAGAACTGGCTTTATCTAGTACGAAAACAAAAAAGTTTTCTTTCATTGCAATGTATTAAGTAATGTGTTTACTTTTCCTATACTTTACACTCCTATTTGGGGTTTCGCGTTGTTTGTCGTTGAAACGTCCTGATCTGCCCCTACTGGACATCTGTGAAAAAAAGAGCTTTATAGATAATCGGATTCCTCCAGGAGAAATGAACATCCTCATTCTCAAATTCGTTTCATACTCTTAGGTTTTTTTCCGGTAAAGTCATGTAGGAAAAAAATGAATAATAAAATAATAGTAAATAATAGTTTATTATTTTATATTTTTATATTATTTTATTTTTATTATGATTTCTATAAATTTTATTTTTTATTTTTTACCTACGTGACTTTACCGAAAAAACCTAAGAGTATGAATCCTTGCAGTCACGAAAGCTTCAAATCTTGAACTAAATCCGTTTCACTTTATCTCACGCCGAAGCAGCTAGTTTCCACGTGGTCGGATCGATTCCATCGATTCCCGCCGCACGAATCGAATCGTCGTACGCGCAGTGTTGGAGCGAGCAGTGGCCGCTAAAAAATATTCACACGAGCAACGTTGCGAATGGATTGAATGAACGCGACACGTTGAAGGAACGAAGGAAGGAAGGAGTGGAATGACTCAAAGGCTCACCTTGGTTTAAACCATGGTGTTGCGATGGGTGTTGGGGCCGCTGAGCGTGGCCATGGCTGAGAAGGCTCGCTACAGGCGGGTGGAGAGGGCCCATGCGTTGGGCCTGCGTGGCTTCAAACACGCGTCCCATGCCATGCTCTACGCACCCAGCGATGAGATGCTCTTCGGCCGCATCCCCTTACGCTACGCCGTGCTGGTGAGAAGCCACGGGGGGCCCACTGGCATGGCCGTGGGCCAACCTCATGGTGACACTTCCACGGCCAAAAATGTTGATGCTGCCACTGATGCTGCTGCTGCTGCTGTTATGGGGTGACTCGTGCAGCCAGCAATGACTGCAAAGTTTGGTCGTAGATGTTATGTGCAGGATGTTTCAAAAAGTTGGACCCAATTTGAAAGATATAGCGATTTCAAATTTGTCCATCTTTTTAAATTTGAATCGCTGTTCCTATGATGACTGTTACATTGTTTTTATAGCTTTATTTTGGTGATTTTGAAAACGTTTTGGTTTAGCCATGTTTGTTGTAGTACAGAGTTAGCCTCGTAACTTTAAATTGTCTTATAGTTATTGTTTGACTTGCATCCTACTTGGATTTTTGCACACAGCGTTGAAATACGGTGTTTTTTTCTGGAAGACTTTGCTATTTTTTTCCTGGATTTCTCTGCGGCGTGTAGTCCCTTTAAGATGTTTCTTGTTCATGTTTGAGTTTGTCGTGGTTGCACCCGAGTCAAGGGCCGCATAGCTCACAGGGTTATTTCTAGATTTGAAGCTTTCGTGACTGCAAGGATTCATATTCTTAGGGTTTTTTTCGGTAAAGTCACGTAGGTAAAAAATTAAAATTAATAAAAAATAAAATAAAAATCACGACGTTTCGGAGGCAACACAAGCTTCCGTCTTCAGGTGGAACCGTCACAGCACGATTGCTGTATCAAGTGAGAGAAATTCCAATAAAACAGCCTCTGTATATATACTGTTTGAGGGTGGGAGGAGCCAAGGTAGGCCCTGAATATTATTTTTGTGAGGTTCGGTGCGGCTGAAGCACGCTGTTAGGAATGAGCCTTTGTTGTGTAAACTAGGTGCGGATGTTGTAAAGGTGCGTGTAAAAGGGACTGAGCCTGTTGTTATGTACAGGGTTATACCTAATACATGAAACTGAAACAAGGGCACTTCCCTGGCCGCGGCGACACTTGTTGTGGCTCATGAGAACACGGGCCAATCTCGTGGCCACCCACCACTTCCATGGACACGAGGACACGTGCAGTATAAACACGGGGCACTCATGGTCCACGGGGACACTTTCATGGCGAGGCAGGGCCACGGGCAGGAGTCTGCAACCTGCGGCTCGCGAAGGACAGCTTCGTGACGTTATTTATGAAAGACCGTCACGTATTCACATGCATTGCGGTTCTGGAAATATATTGATTTTACCGGATTAGAAAAATATACTTTTTGTTATTTTGGTTGCCGACCCCTGGCAATGGGGGACACTTTAATGGCGAGGCACGGCCATGGGGACACTTCATGACAATTTGAACACTTGTATGGTCCAAGGGCGATGTTCATGGCCACAGACACATTCATGGATTCGTGGTCACATTCGGGAGCAAGGTCTGAACGCAGGGCACAGTCGTAACAATGGGCAGTTATGAGAATAGATTTTTCCCTTTTTTCTGGCAACAAAACAGGTGTTGAGATGTTAAAACACTAAACGGAAACCTTTTACAAGGAATAATGTCTGCATTAACCACGATACTTGTGGTCAGAATGCAAACAAAAAACATACTCTGATAATATATGCATTGGCTTTCTTTGGAGCCCAGTCTCAAACGGTGTTAGACCAGAGGATGCCAAAAGGTGACCAGATTCATCTGGTCTCTGGTCTAACATCTTTTGAGACTCTGTTCCAAAGAAAGCCGTCTCTGGTGTGGACCAATCAGTTTCAAAGACAATGCATTTTTATCAGAGTATGTTTTTTGTTTGCATTCTGACCACAGGCATTGTGGTTAATGCAGACATGATTCCTTGTAAAAGGTTTCAGTTTGGTGTTTTAACATCTTAACACCTGTTGTCAGAAAAAAGGGGAAAACCTATTCTCATATTTTGGTACTGCCAATGGAGGTCCCATGATGTCTATTTGGATGTATAGCTTATGCCAATTTGATATAGTAAACAGTTAAAACGCTCCAAAATAAATACCATACACAACATCTACAACACAATGTTATGCAAGAATGTGCAAACAAGTAATTTTAAATTATGATGATTTAGTGATTATCTGGCGTTTTTGAAAACCCGGCATCCCCTTCCGCCGGATAGCACTGGTCAACACACTTTTTCTGGCATAAAGTATTCCAACAGTTTTAAGGTAATGTCCCATCGGCCTTGGTAACGTTCTTCCATAACTTTAATGTCTTGATGAAAGCGTTCACCTTGCTCTTCGCTCACGTGACCCATGTTCTCTAGAAATTGGTCCAAGTGACTATGTAAGTAGTGAACCTTGATGCTCATTCTACATCCAAGTGCTTGGAAACTCAAGAGCAGCTCCTCCACAATCTTTCTATAGTTGTCCGCTTTCCTGTTCCCAAGGAAATTCCGCACCACATCAGAGAATGCATTCCAAGCTCTAGCCTCTGTCGCAGTCATTGTTGTAACAAAGTGTGGATCCCTGATGAGTGTTCTTATTTGAGGGCCATCAAATATTCCTGCCTTTTTCTTCTCGGCACTGAGACTTGAAAAGGTTGAACATCTATAGCTGAAGCAGTCTCCAGTGTGATCAAGAGCTTTGACGAATTGCTTCATTAACCCAAGTTTTATGTGCAGTGGGGGAAATACAATTTTATTCCAATCAACCAGAGGCTCAATCTTGATGTTCTTGTCACCAGGCGTCAAACTGATTCTTGGTGGCTAGTTCTTTTTAACCCAGTGTTCTAATGTAGCCCTACTGTCCCAGTAGCACAGGAAACAAGGGTATTTGGTGTGACCTCCTTGCTGACCCAGCGGAACATTAACCATTTTCAAATCAACACAAATTAGCCATCCATGAACATGGTATTCCAATCTATCCAGAACAATCTTGATGTTGGCATACTCTTCATTCATTTTTACAGAGTGTCCTATTGGGATTGAACCATATATATTTCTGTTGTGAAGTAACACACATGTCAAACTCCTTTTACTACTGTCAATAAAACGTCTCCATTCACTTTAATCATATCCGGGCAGTCCCATATTGAGAAGAAGCCCTTCAACATCATTACAATTAACAAGTTGACCATCTGAATGGAAGTACTTTCGCAGTTCTGCTTCTCTGTTACGATAAAAGGAGACACTAGTGGCAGGTCTGAGTAGTCCTTTCTCTTGCAGCCTGGAAGCCAACAATTCAGCAGACTGCTTTGGCAAATACAACTCTCTTACAAGATCATTCAATTCAGGCTGACTAAACAGAGAAATTTTTTATCACAATCTGCATCAGATGGCGTATATTTGATCTGAGCATCATCATCTGTAGAAGCAGGTAAACTGAGGGATTCAACATCAATCTCTGGTAGCTCAGTAAATACAGGCACAGGTGTTTCCTCACAGTGCTCAACTGGTCGTCTGGCAAATGGGATATCTGGGTATTGTAAGTGTTGTTTGTTTTTATTATTGAAACCTTTTACATTGACAAGGCAGAAGTAGCAGTTATCCAAATGGTTTGTAGGTTCTCTCCAAACCATTGGCACACCAAACTTCAGCTTAGCATTCTTTCCTTTAGACCATGATCGCAAAGTTTCAACACAGGTTTTACACACTTTGTGAGGAGCCCAATTTTTGTCTTGGTCTCCAAGTCGTACTTTAAAGTAGGCAAGATAAACCTTCTTGACAAAGGTATTGATGTTGCGCCTTTGATCCTGCAAAGTGAAGCTGCCACAGATGTAGCAGAAGATATCTGGGTCATTACTGCATTTGCTTCTTTCGGATGTTGTAGCCATTGTTAGATCACGCCCTGCAGAAGAAAAATATTAAATAAATGTGGATATCTACATAAAATGATATTATAAACACACTATCCTAAAAATACAGCACCATATTTTAACACTAAAGCAGTCACTGACTCGCAACAACTTGCAATCATAAGTGACAGAGTTAATTTCGGGTAAAATCAATGAAAATGGGGTATGCCGATAGCATAAAAATGAGATGTGATAGAGCAAATCTGAGATCAGATTTGGAATCAGCACCCTGAAATTAGTCTAAAACGGCTGCAAAAGTCGAGGCCACAATTTTTGTTGTTGACCAGTGTAATCGATGGTCTAACGTGTGTCCCCTGTTGTTGATGGGGTTGGGATACGGGGGGTTTAGGGGGTCTTGGAAAAATTCCACCGAGGAAAATGAAGCCTTGTGTGGAGTGGTTTGTTAAATGGTGCTTCTGGGAAAGACAGGTTCTGAAATCATCGTGCAGAAACATTCCACTTTGAACCAGCAGATGGCGGTAGATGTGCACCATGTTATTCACGTTATTTGCAATCACAATACATGCATTTAATATTACCAAAGGCCATAATTATATGTCATCAGAACAACCGCTGTACGCCTTTTGGTGTCCTCTGGTCTAACACCGTTTTGAGACTAGGCTCAAAAGAAAGCTGTCTTTGGTGTGGATCAAGCAGTTTCAAAGACAATGCATATATTATCACAGTGATTTTTTGTTTGCATTCTGACCACAAGGATTGTGGTTAATGCAGACATGATTCCTTGTAAAAGGTTTCAGTTTGGTATTTTAACATCTCAACACCTGTTTTGTTGCCAGAAAAAAAGAGGAAAACCTATTCTCATATTTTGGTACTGGCAAAGGAGGTCCCATGATGAAATGGGCAGTTAAGTTATCACTCTATCGCTACTACCATGGTTTCTGTTCCATGAATGTCACTTGCTGATTCTGCCACCCATGTTTCAGGACTCAAACTACCCAGACTTGTATTCACCTACCATGCTGTGGGTAACAATACCTGGTTACTTCTATTTCTGCTTCTTTCCCCATGCTCCACTTTGAAATTCCCTGAAATCAACTCTTTTTTTTCCAGTTGCTTATGACCTTTCTGAAAACGTATTAACGCTCATACATTTTGTATGAGCGTTAACACGTTGCGTTAAATAACTGCGTAAATATACATTAAATTATTGTATATTCACACTGTATTCATACGTTCACTAAACAAAAAGTCTTTAAAAATATTGCTAAGTGTATATTTTGCTTCACTGTCATTTTGAGATTAATTTATTACCAGATTGTGAAAGATGGTAGAGGCTTTGTTGGGAGGTCTTCATCCAGTAGTGGATTCACCATGGCAGATGATCTGCGGATGCAAAGTTGTGCAACGTTTGTTTGAGATAATTTGTTGTTTCAGTTTATGCAGTCATTGGGAAATGCTTTTGGGTAATGTCTGACCATTGGGGCCCATATCATGGACGGATTTAGCCATGGAACACCTCATTTTGGTGAAATCTGGCTGTAGAATATCTTATTTGTGAAATATGGCCAGAATAAATGAATTATTTGTGAAATCGTCAATGTAATTTGGCTCCTATAATGGGTCATACATAGCCATAGAAAACGTCATGGGCAAAAGTTGGAAAAGGATTGACTCTAATGGTCCCAATGTTACTTAATGAACCAGGCAGGGCCATATTGATGGCTGACATTCAGCCTTTTTCAATTGGTAAAACCCAACCATGTTGCCACCCTTCATGGGAGATGCATCTATTACCACTTTGATGCCTGACACATGGCCATGGGCCACGCGTTGTGAGCCAGGTCTCCTCATGGACAATATACTGATGTGTCAAGCAGGGCTACCTTTCATTGGCAAGACCCATTCATCAGTCACCCATAATGAATGAGGCCAGGCCAGTTCTTATGAACAGCGTCTTTGTTTTACTTTGCCTTTTAGTCAGAGCAATTAAAGCATAGCTCTACACCCACAGCAACTCACGTGAAATTAAATTACTGAGCATTTAAGAGTCCGTGATTATCCAAGTTATGTGTCTGTAGAGGAGCTAGGTAAATTAAATGTGAGTTTATTTCGATCTAATAACCCATCCCCAATGTATTTTTTCCTCTCCCTGGCTCTCTCCCCATCTGCTATTTTGCAGTTTAAGCCATGACACCGGCACTTTAGAGGGCCCCGCTCGTACACACCGCACCACATATTACTCTTAATTACCACGTTTTACGATTATAACTCCAGATGCAGATGCGCTTTGACGGGACCCTGGGCTTCCCCGGCGGCTTCTTGGACCCAGGGGAGGCATGCCTGGAGGACGGCCTCAACCGTGAGCTGCAGGAGGAGGTGGGCTGCACCGTGCGGCTCACGGAGGCAGACTACCTGTGTTCGCACATGTGCCAGCACCCGCGGCCCATCGTCAACCACCTGTACGCTCGTAAGCTCACGCTGACCGAGCTGCGGGCCTTGGAGGTGAGCGCTGTTCAGGCGCGGGATCATGGAGGAGAGGTATGTTCCTGACTGCCACATGGCCTACACACCTCTCAGTCTCACTGGCCTCTTCATTAAACGTATAATTAAAACTTTCTTTTTTAAAAATTTGTAACGTTTTTAAATGTAAACACATTCCAAGCTGCTGTAAATTTAGGAGGACAACATGTGTATGTACTTATTTTACTTATTTATCCAGGGAAATCCCACGGAGTATTACGACTCTTATTCAGGAAGGTCCTGCATTGGGACAATAAAATTAATGAAACACTGCCTTCATGTTGGAGGATACTTGATTACCTGGAGAAAATCCACACATACCAGTATATATCAGTCGCAGCAAAGCACAGTTAGATGTAAACCGCTGCTGTGCTGTCATCTCCTGTCATCCCTCGAGAGACCTAGAGAGTGTGAAGTTTGAAGAAGGGGTAAGGGTCGGTTTTTTTTAGAGCAGGGAATGTGGGGTAGAATACACGGGCCAGATTGTAAAATTTAGATAACATGGAGACACTTATAAGAAAGTTACACGCAGAAGATGCAGTAATATGAAAAGGGGAAGGAATGGTCTCAGCAGTGCAAATGGTTCGAGACAACTGCAGAGAAGATTGACTTGCGTTTTTGACTGACGGTGTTTGAATGACAGCCTTAGTTGCTGGAGTGGAAGGCATGTTCAGATAAGTATATTGAGATGAGAGAGGGCTGAGATAGGTGGGAGTGAGTCCATGCAGGATCCTGACAATGTGTTTAATTAAAAAGCATTGGTGTGTGTGTGTGTGAATTTGGAGGACTTGTATATTAAATGTATTACAACTTCGGTTATTCGGGATTCCATTTTAAAAGATATCCAAGAAAGTAGTGGAGTGGCTATCGAATGCAGCTCGCTACCAGGTTGCGAGACGAGGCAGTACACAATGAGGGCCTCTGCAGCACCTTGTGGGTCGTAAGGGTTTATTTGACCATACTTCACCACGCTGGCCAATGCAGGACCGTGAATGTGGGGAACACCACTTAGTGCTGCAGCCTATAATAATAGCCCCTTGTGCATCGTGGTCACCCAATCCAAGCATCAAATCAGGTTTAACTAAGCTTGGCTTCTCAGGTCTGACTGAGATGGGTACATTCCAGAAGATTTAGTCGCACAGAGGAAGTACTATGGGTACATTTGCTCCCGCTGCAATTGCAAAGGGTGTACTCTGGTTTTTTATCGGAAAAGTCACGTCGGTAAAAAATAAAATAAAATAAATGAAAACAACTAAATTAAATCACGACGTTTCGGGCGCAACGCAAGCGTCCTTCTTCAGGTGGGGACGAGGAATTATATAGCCCACACACTCACCATGCCCCTCTCCCTCCATCCCCCGCGACTATATAATTCCTCATCACAGCCATCTCTTAGACACACTTAAGCGTTTGTGCTTTCGCTACGTTGTCCCCACCTGAAGAAGGATGCTTGTGTTGCGCCCGAAACGTCGCGATTTCATTTAGTTGTTTTCGTTTATTTTATTTTATTTTTTACCTACGTGACTTTACCGAAAAAACCAAAGAGCATGAATCCTTGCAGTCACGAAAGCTTCTAATCTAGAATGCAAGGCTGTACTTTTTTCCTTTACTTATTATCAAAGGGAAGCGCATTGCCTTCCAGGTGCTGGGGATGGTGAGGGTGCCTCTGTACACCCTCCGCGGGGGGCGAGGCGGGCTGCCCCTATTCCTGAGGAACCGCTTCATCGGCAACGCACGTGACCAGCTCCTCTACGCCCTGCGCAAGCTCGGCATCATGACTCCCGAGGAGCTGCAGGCTGCCGAGGATGCCAGCAGAGCCAATTGAGCCGCTTGGGACGGAACACCTCCTCCCACAATGCCGCCCGCTCACGTTGACGAGTGTGCGTTACCACGTTGCGTTAAATAACTGCGTAAATATGCTTACAATTATTGTATATTCACACTGTATTCATACGTGCACTAAACAAAAAGTGTGTAAAAATATTGAAAGTGTATATTTTGCTTCACTGTCATTTTGAGATTAATTCATTGTCAGATTGTGAAAGATTGTAGAGGCTTTGTTGGGAGGTCTTAATCCAGCAGTGGATTCACCATGGCAGATGATCTGTGGATGCAAAGTTGTGCAACGTTTGTTTGAGATAATTTTTGTTGTTTCAGTTTATGCAGTCATGTAAATTCATCGTTCGTTATGGTTTAAAATATGGCTAAACGAAGGCCTTCCCCCATACATTCGCAATCTCATGGGTATTCCGTGATGCCGCGATCCACTGCACTCGTGCAGATGAACGAATCTCATGGCTCCATCTCCTCAGAGGTTATTCTCTCGGGCACGTTATCTCCTCGGGCTGCCAATCCATCGCCAGCCTTGTTCATCAGCGGTTATCCCTTCTTGCGATGCATCCTGCCCAAGCCAACATCGTTTATAAGTCAATAAGATTTGTTCCAGAATTTGTTCCAGAATTTTTTTCCGTGATCCATGTACTCTTCTTTGCATTACCCAGAGTAATTTCAAGTGAGCACTTTTCTTTTTTACGTTTGTTTATTCACGATCCGTGTTTCCTGATCCATATGTCAAAGCTGGCAATATGCAGTCATTGAAACCATCTTCAAGAATTTTGCCATTGCTGCATTCCACAATCCATGTTTGATGTTCATTGTGAAATTACCTGTGAACAGACTGCTTGAATTAACCTCTTGACAACAGTTATAATGTCTCTTTTTTGCTCAAACTCAACAGGCACTTAATAGCTGAAGTTGATGGAACATTTTTTGAAACGTCTTTAATAGGCCAGAGTGTTTGCTTGCTGTAAAAAGTGGTAAATGTGTTGTCAACACGAGTGTTTCCTCCACAGCTTTTGTAAGCCTCTCGACGTTTGATTTTGCCTTAACCCAACCCCTGATGGTTGTGTAATTAATGTCAGCAGGAATAAAGCAGTGCAAAGTCACGTTGCAATTCTATAGTACTTTATTTTTAGGAGTGCCTTCCAGACATGTAAAACAATCGGGTTTACAAAGTAATAGAATATTTATGCGACGTGGGTATTTATGCCTCGGTAAAAACAAATACCAGGTTTCTTTTTTAATTAACATTTGTAATGCTTTTTTTAATTACTGCACAGCAAATAAAACGCATGGGAAGTCCGATGACGCCGATCCGACAATAAACATTGCGTTCTGCATTGAAGTAAGCATCCTCGTTACTTGTTTGGTCCTTGTAGGAAAGGCAGTTCTGGCAACTGGCTCACAACAAGACGAGCACACACATGCGGTGATTGTACAGCAGCGATGGACCTTCGCGATTTCCGCCACCGCTCCGACTCCTGCGCACGGCTCTGCTCGGCTAGTCTGGAACGTGGTCGAAACTCACGGTCCACTGGCAAACGATAACAAGCCGGTAAAGTGCCACACAACCACGCCAAACCTGGCCCTTTAAATAAAAACACAGCGGGCAGCAGTTCTTCATAACAAAACCTGACTGTAAGCCGCACCGCTAAGAGGCTGCGTGTGTGGCTCCTTGCGGGAGGTCACTTGTGGCAAGCCTTGGCTCCCCAGGGGGTGACCGTGGGGGGGGGGGCGGGGGGAGTTGTTTGGGGGAAGGGAGGAGTTGGGGTCTAGCAAAGAGTCAGGGGACTGAACAAACACAGCAGGGGGTAAAGTCTGATGCTCTCCCTGGCACATTCCACATAAACCTCCCGATCTCACCTAAGTAGGTGGATTGTTGGGGAAGAGGGCAGAGGAGGAGTGGAAGGGATACCCAGGGCAAGGGATGGGAGAGGGTATTGAGCTTATCATTTGGATTGGTTGCCAGCGACGAAAATCGCCTCCCTTGTGTGCCTCCCTTGGGGCAGAAAGCATGTGCAAGAAGAATACAGTGCAAATTAGAAGCGTGCAGCGAAGAGGGTTGGACCTGACGGTCCTCCGGCGAGCTAATTGCTTAGAGCCGCGCTGGGTCACTCGTCCACACAGCTGAGAGGAGAAGGAGTAGCGGACAAGAGGTGGCCACAATGCATCCTGGAACAACAATGCTGAGCAACGCAAAGTGGTAAGCGGAAAACACAATTACATAATTACAATATTTACAACGGTATATTTAAAGTGATCCGTTTATAAATTGCCCACTGATTTCGAATGATCCTATTTCCCCCAACAATTGAGTGAATATTGTGGGAATGGCTCCATATCTGACAAGAGGATAGTTTCAAGATTTAAATGTGCATCGAGATCGGGGGGGGGGGGAGACGTGTCGAAGCTTCGAATTAAAATGTTACTTTTCCTACACAAATTTTTCCTCATTATTTTAGTGGGACATCCACAAATGGATCGTATGCAATGAAACGCAATTTTGATTGCATCGTCTAATTACGGTCGATACCACTATAGTGCGCAGCAGACACGCGTACAATGGCGGTGTTAAGTGAATTAAAATTTGAATGTTTCATTTTTTCTCGAGGCGAACGGCTCAGCGTCTGCATGTGAGCGGAAGAGGCGTCCACGCGCATGTTCGGCTGCCTCCCATCGAGCCACTCAATGGGGCTACGGCTGCGAGCACCGTCCCAGTGGAAACATCGGCCTGTGGAACCTACAGCAGGTAATGGTGCATGGTGAATTCAGGGTTCACTGTTTTAAAAAATATACATGTTTTCGTCAATTTTCCCCGAACGCGATCCCGATTGTGCAATTGACGTCACATCGTGAGACTGAGAATCGCATCGCTCTCCATCGTGGTGTTAAGAGGCCAGCCCACAGAAGCGGATATCGCATCGCTGCCTCTGAGATTCCTTCAAGTAACCTCTGGTCCACAGAGTTGAGGGCAACACTCTCCCACCCGCTCTGCACATGAGAACAACATTTGTCACAGCGCTCAGGGCTCACCCTGAAGCAACGTACGCAGCACAGCCCATATCAATGTCATCTAAAACAACAATTACACATTCAAGGCTCGGGGGAGCAGAGGGCAGCACAGCAAACTCCATCGCTGTGGGGAATGTGTTTGATTTAGCTAGATCTCTGAAGCCGAGTAGGCTTGAGCCTGGATAGTGCTTCAATGGGTGACCACTGTGGGGCTATGTGGTGGGCAGCAGAGGGCAGTGCAGGAAAATAAATAGTTACACTCATGCCTCTGTGCTCCGATGTCTATGCTATCCACCTTTACCAACCTACACTGGCCAGCTTGGTAAAGTATGGTCATATAACCTCCCCACGATCCGAACGGCATGGGAAGGCCCTCATCCAGCAGTGGCTTGACAACACCTTCATTCGTATGTTTGGCCAGTTTCTTTCCGGCAATGTTTTTTTTTCTTCTTCTTCCATGTGGCAGAAAACCGCAATACCGAGTCAAAAGCTATCCGCACGAGAGATTAACACTCAAAAGGTCTGCACAGATGGGTTTATGAACTCACATGCTGCACTGCCATCTCCTGGCCACGTTGCTGCCCAGAGATTTGGGAGTTAATTTGCAAGGCTTCGCAGGTCTGCCAACCATTGCCCCCAAAGTGCTTGTTCACAAGTGTGTGCCAAAGGCGGCCGGGCGTGGTGTTGGCTACCCACCCCTTCGTGTGCCGTGCCGGCCTTCATAGGTGCTCGCTAACAGCACTTGCCTCTACAGTCTGGTACAGGCTACACGGGGCATCTTTGCCACCTGTGGGGAGCGGTAGCGCAGCAGTTAGCGCGCTGCGTTACGAACCCGGCGACCTGAGTTCAATTCCCGCTCATGGCCAACAACAGTTACGATTATTTGAACCGGTCGTGGGCCTCCTCTAGATCGACCCAGCCATAAATGAGTACTTGGTGTGGTGTGTAAACATCACCACGAGGGAGACAAAGGAAACCGGGTGTGGTGTTGGCCACCCACCCCCTCGCGTGCCTTGTCGGCCTTCATAGGGGCTCGCTAACAGCACTTGCCCCTACAGTCTGTTCAGACTACACGGGGGAGTTCTAGATTTGAAGCTTTCGTGACTGCAAGAATTCATACTCTTAGGTTTTTTCGGTAAAGTCACGTAGGGAAATTTTTTTTAGATAAAATAATGAATCACGACGTTTCGGAGGCAACACAAGCTTCCGTCTTCAGATGGAACCGTCACAGCACGATTTACTTGATACAGCAAGCGTGCTGTGACGGTTCCACCTGAAGACGGAAGCTTGTGTTGCCTCCGAAACGTCGTGATTTATTATTTTATTTCTGTTATTTGTTTTCTATTATTTATTAGAATGAATTTTATTTTTTATTTATTTATACCTACATGACTTTACCGAAAAAACCTAAGAGTACACGGGGGGATGTTTGTTCTTTTTTTTTTGCCACCACACATGGAAGAATGCTGTTGCAATGCAATGGGAGCATGTGCAGCCTCCAGCAAGAAATTCTCTGTGAGCTGCATCATTACTCGTTGTGAGATAACGTCTCCGATAAGGTGTTCTGCTACAGAATGGTTCTGATCACTAATACATTTGGTTGGTGTCGAACCCCCTTTAAGAGAGCAATTTGCTCCAGTCTCAAGCGAAAACATTCAGAGAACTTGGCCCATAGCCCAGGGCAGAGCAATTGCATTGTACATAACATGGGATTAGGGGTCAATACTTTACATGTGCAAATCAAATTAGCAAATGCAGGCCTTTAGCATTTTTTAGTTACACACTACATTACTTTCACATCTGTTTATAATTGAGAATGTTGAAATGCTCTCTCTGCCTTTTAAAGGGCGGGATTTTTCCGAGCACGGAGTCTGTCGCATTCCGAAGACCGCCGGGGGACTGGAGGACGAGACGCGTGCTCGAGCAATGAACGGGAGGCGCTGCTTAAGTCAAAAACTGTTTTAGACTTGACCAAAGGCAATGGCAAACCCTTGCCACCTCGCGAACGTTTTCAAGCCATAGCAATGAAAACCATCGGTCAAAAGACGAAATGTTTATCAGGTAACCACGACTGCGTGCCTCCACATGCACATCAACAGCACTTCACCCAGCATTTCCAGGAAGATGACAGCACGCAAAATATCAGCGAGGTCAGGTCCGAGCAACGACGAGCCCTCGGGAAGAGCTCCCCTGACGAACAGCGCTGCCACAATTCCTGCTCATAACTCCTCCGCCGACCTTGACACTCTCGACGCAGCCAGGCCAAATGGAACACGAGTGGAATCCACGGGGAGCCACGGCTCGCTTACAGAACACACGGACGAAGGAACGGCAACGCGCGGAGCTGACATGCGTACGAGGCGCTCCGTGAAAAAGCCCCTCAAATCCTCCCTGAAGAAGTCCTTCGACTGGAAGGCCCATTCCTTGAAGGGCGACAAAGGCTCGGCCAAACGGTGGGGCGGCGCGGCCGAAGGGCAGCGCGGGCGCGTCGAGGGAGGCGCCGAGCAGCGTCCCCGACACACATTCACGGAGCGTGGGCAGTGCAGCCCGTGCTCCCCCTCCAGGCGTCAACGCGACGACGCCACGCCGGCTTGCCGGGCGCACGGTGGCGCTCGGCAGCCCGGCGGGACGCGCCGCCCGTGCTCGCTTCGCGTGGCTCGCAGCGTCGCCAGCGCGTGCGAGGCGTCCCCGAGGGAGGACGGGAATCGCCGCGACGGAGGCTGTCTCCCGAGCGGGTGCCCAAGCCCCGACGTGAACGCTAACGGGGCCGCGGGGTGCGGGCCGCCGGCGGCGCGACCTTCGCGAGGCGTGCGCGGGGAGTTGGTTCTACACGAGCCGGGAGAGTTCGCCGGCGTGCCGGTGCCCAGGATAACGATGACGTGCGCAACTCCGCCGCCAGCGCTCTCGGCCACGGGGGACGGCGAGTTTGCCGGGCAGTAGGGTACCGTGTCATCCAGCGCTCGACGTGGATACGAATTTTGACCGGTCGGTGCATTTTACGCGCTGAATGTTTTTTTTATGTGGAAGATGAAAGTGGCCATGGAGAAGCTTGAATGGGTTCTGGTGGTCACGACGCACGTGTAAAACCGCGCGTGTAAGAATAATAATTTATTTACGGTTTGTATATGGTGTATGTGTGGTTGGGTCACGTGTCCCCTCGCAGTCGGCTCTGCTAATGAGATTCCATAGGCCCTGCGATGGCAAAAATGCATCGATTCCTGAATCCAATTGTGAACACGGATCATTCAAATGGATCGAGTCATCAACTACAATCAAGAACATTTTATCAATTTGCTACGCGAGTGAGGGGGGAGAGGGGCGGGAGTGGTAGAGGGGTGAATTATTACCCTACTTAAACAAAACTGGTTTTACGAATTCTAAAAAGCCAAGTGTTTTTATTTACAATGCTACAAGCTGAGATCACTTCCGTGAATAGGTTGGCAACAATGCATGCAGTATACTGAAGTGGATAAGAACCATGAAAGCCGAACTCTCGTTCGTAACAGAGTACAATATCTATACATTTATATATCTCTCATATACCATGCCCTGTGACCGAGCAGAATTGAAATGTTGCCTCGATGTCCCCCTATGATATATATGTAATATACTGTTTCCCCAAACTGCAAAAATAAACGTTTGATGTCATGCAGCATGTTACTGTATATGTAAACATATAATTACACACCGATTCCACTGCATAAACAACAAGGTGCTCTGCTTAACAGGTTCCATTTCAAAGATAGGAAGACATGCTGACATCACCGCAGTCGCAAAGCAAGAAGCTCATGCATGTCCAATTCACGCGGAAGAAAAACGTGACATCGTTCACACTAAACGAGCAGATTCGTTATCTACGTGCAAGCGCTGACTAGCCACACACTGCCACAAGTCGAGTTTTTTCTACTGGAACATCAGAGTCGAGCCACCATGGGGCCATAACGGTACGGGTGATTTTTTTTCCCCCCTTGGCTTATTTGCCATACCGAGCCAGAACCGAACCACGATACGCCGGCCTCGCAAAACGCCCTTCATCTGGCTGGGGTGCCAAGCAGAGCCAGGGCGGGACTAATGATGTGTCCATTGGGTCTGATGTCACTGTGAGGACACAGCGTCATCGCATCATCGAAAATAAAAACTATTTCAAATTAAACTATATATTTATTTTACCAGGTGAGGCCCATTGAGCTACGTAGCTTTATTTTCAGTAGCGACCTTGCCACAGATGATAGCTCAACAAAGTGCTTTATCGCGTGGAAATGTATAGCAGCCGAACACTCAACGCATGTTTCTAAACGTGGAGGGAAAAAACAGAGGGGACCTGGAGGAAAATCCACGCAACCACGGGGAGAGAGACACGTAACCTCCAAACGTACATCGGGCGTCGGGCTCGGAATTGAACTCACGATCTGCTGTATACCAGGCGAGGTATGTAACATCTGGCCACAGGTCACGCCCGACCATGCATCGACATACGTGTCGGCTCGTTGCGTGTGACGTCAGCGCCACAGCTCATTTTCCGCGGTGCAAAAAGCTGGCCCAACCTGACCCAACCGCACCGGACTGGCTTTGCTCAGCCCTGGCGCAGAGCAGATGTGCCAATGGAAAAAGAGACCGTTGATTATTAGCTGTTCGTACAATGGGCTCATACAGCTGGTGAGGCCACAGCTATACTGGATGTATAATGTAAGGATATATATATAGATGTACCAGGTTTAGGAGTTTGGAGCAGCTTATGATAACGTCGTTAGTATAGAACTGGAAAACTTTTCTCATTGATATTAACATAGAGCATAAGACAAGAGTTGAACACCCAACAACAATATCAGCTCAAATCACACAATCTTCCCTGGATTGCCCCAACTAGAGCTTGAACGATTAGTCGATTAAGTCAACGCGTTGACTAAATATTTAAATCAACTACTTTATTTGTGGTCGATTTCTCGGGCCACTTAAAAAATGATGGCCACCCCCACATCCTGCCTCGTGAAGGCAGGAAACCCCCCGATGGTGCCAATGACGTCACCCATCACCTCCCGTCCAGTGGCAGGCATGGGAAAAGAGGTGATTGTGTTATCTGATTCATCGAGTAATTGAACTGGTAATCGGTAGAGTCATCGATAGCAGTGCTAAAATAATATCTAATAGAACATAGCTTGTATTCGCATATGTTGTAGTGCTTTTGAGTTTCTTGTCATGCAAAGAAGGAAAAGACGAAACATTGACAATCTGTGACTCTCACCTTTCACCAGGGTCTTGTGCCAATAAGCCAGGCGGTTCAACAAGTTTACGATGAAATTGCTTCGAGGAAGCGCAAGCGTTTTTATAAACAAAAATTAAAGCCTGGCGGAATTGCACTCAATTTGCATGCCTCAAGTGTTCTTTTGAAAAAAAAGCAAGTCCCACCGACCTTCTGGGACTAATCCCTCCCATTCGTTGCTAAGTGTCGGCATTAACGCTCAGTAAACACAACATCTGAGGCATGCAAACACAGAGGGTGGAATAATACATTCTAGATTTGAAGCTTTCGTGACTGCAAGGATTCATACTCTTAGGTTTTTTCGGTAATGTCACGTAGGTAAAAATTTTTTTATAGAAATTAAATAATAAATCACGACGTTTCGGAGGCAACACAAGTCTCCGTCATCAGGTGGGACCGTCACAGCTAAATTTACTGTATCAAGTGAGGAAAAATCCCAGAGTCTAATAATACAGCACATCTCGGGGTGGTGAGTGGAACCTCATCACCTCCATACCTGCCCACCTCTGCATTTTGTTCCCCAGACCATCTTAATCACCCACCTCAACTGTTATATTTGATTTGATTTTCATATACATATATACACCGTATGTTTCAGATTGTAAGACGCTCCGGAACAGACGTACCCCGAAACTTGTGTCCGGTGTCAATAACGTTACATACACTTCGTCGCAAGCACACACACACACACACCTGGCTGGATTTTAAAACACACTTGCAACAATCGCTTTAATATACAGTGAAGGGGGGGAAAAGTGCATCTTATAATCCACAGAACACGATATAATCAAAGTGCTGCGTGAGTTGGTGCTATCAGATCCCATGCAAGCGTTTGTGCAAAACAGAATACTGTGAACTGCCGTGTTCAGATTCAATTTCTTCACTCGCCAAGTGCAGTTTACACATTGTAGCGTTCAAAAGATGCGTACGACACGTTACACTACGTGCACGTGTTTGGGTTTGACGCATAACCTCGACGCTTACATATACAGAAAATCAACATACGTACATACGGACTTGAGTCGCAACGCACTTGGACATGGACTGGCCAAACTTCTCAACTCTCAGGAGGGTGGCCAATTCATGCCCAGGGGCCTCAGATATTGAGAGGCTTGCGGAATTTTATAAATACATCCTCTAAGTAACATGGAAATTACAGCCATAACATCACCGTGTGTGTGTCACTAACCAGCTGTGCCGAATTTTAAATAGTTTAGTTCCTTTTAACAAATTGCATTTATCGTATATCACATTTTATGAACTAGAATTGAAATAAAATGAATTAGTACGGAGCCTTTGGTGTCGGGTGTGGGTGGTGGTAAAATATTCATAATCAACGTTTTTGGTTTTAGATCGCGTTATTTATAAATGTGTCGTAACCATCCACCACCCGACACGGCCAATCAGTAAAAAAGTGTCACGTTGACAAAAGACAATTAGTTCACTGATTGGCCGTGTCGGGTGGTGGAGGGTTACGACACATTTATAAATAACTCGATCTAAACCCAAAAACGTTGATTATGAATATTGGTCGTGAAAGCCTAGGTGGTAAAATAGTCGGGGGAAGGAATTGGAGTGACAAAGAGGGCTCCGCACCCCCCAAAAACAACTATTTTAAGAGCCCCAGGCCCTCATCCAACGTAATCCGACCCTGCCTGCCAGTGTCACCGAAGCTGCCCTTTGCTATTTCCCATCTTCTTCATCTTCCCTGCCCTCGTCCCCTCTACTCCCCGACCCTTTCGTGATCCCTAAGTACGCCCTCTGTCGGGGGGTCACTCATTCTTCAACCCCTTGCACACCCCCTGTCATCTAAATCATTCCATTCTGTCAGGCTTTTTTGTTGTTGTTGTAACTACGTTAAGCGCCTTGAGTGAATGCGCTCTACAAATATAAAATTAGATTAGATCAGAGGTGTTGATGGATTCCTTTTCTAACCGAATGTTACACCTGGCGTTTCTGATGAAGGCAGCTGGTGCGGCAGTGGTGTTATTTAAAAGGCATCACACAATAGTGGCGTCATTATGTAATGTGTGCCGGAGAAGCATGGAGCCATGGAAAGTCTCTCCCCCCCGTGTTGTGTAATCCCTCGCCCGTCAGTCACCACACCGACTACGAAGTTGCGGCTCTATGCCGTCAACTGTAGATCTTCACGCCTGGCGTTTTGTTTTCACAATAATATCATGAGAATAATTTCCTTTTTGGGAGGGCGCTGGAGGAACATTTCGAGATATTCCACATTAGTCCCAGCGAGCACGCCTTTCTAAAAATACAATGTGTGTTTTTTATCGCTCCCGTTATTATATTTGAGTTTACATATAATATATTTGAAAATAAATAATCCATACCGTTTCTCGATTATGCGCAGCCTTCTACATTAACTTACAGCGGCCGTTTGAATAAATAAAAAATATAGGCAACTTTTAACGATATACATTATTGCAAAACGTCTGAGTGTGTGTATGCACTGTGCAGCCTTTACGTAAATCAAATTTAAACAAATGAACCTACCCCTCGGGACATTACAACAAAATATACTCTATGTACATCTACGAACCGTTCTGACAAAGATCAGTTACGTGGGCCGACGCCTCAAAAGAGAACAAGAGAGCACTGCACAGGAACTTTCACTACACCTGGGGGGGGGGGGGGTGGTAGTGGGGGAAGCGGCGTTCGATACCGAATGGCCGTGCACAGGAAAAAAGCCGAACGTTCACAAAACGCACGTCGCACTCTCCTCGTGGGGAAACTTGCCGGAGTCTAGAGAGAGAGAGAGAGAGAAATGGAGGGCGCTGCTTGTGCAAGACGGCTATCACAAAAAGCGTGAGCGTGCGGCGACGACGCCAAACCGTGATTTTGACGACACCGTAATTTCGCGTCGAAAACCAGGTCGGTTAAAGTTTGGTTCTTAACTAAATGTTTGAAATGTGTAACTCGCCCACAGGAGGCGTGGGCTGGTGGGGCGGTGGCACGGTGGTTAATACACCTGCACCGTGAACTCGGCGACCTGGGTTCAATTCCATGCCACATCGGTGTGACGAGTGACATCTGAACTGGCCGGCATGGGGAAGTATGGTTAAAACAATCCTCATGACTAACATGGCGTGGGAGGCTTTCATCCAGCACTGGAATTGGCAAAGGAGCTGTACATTAGTTTTAAATACATTTCACTGGAGGTTGTGTGTGTTTTTTTATTCTTTATGCAATGATCGTGATCCAAAAAGGCTGCATTAAACCACTTTACATTATCTCAAAAATGGATTCTGAGGATCATGTCACGATCCCGAACTTGAACAATAGAACAACAACATTTTTACTAATTAAGGTTATTAAATGTGGAAATAGTAGGCAGCGCATTCCACGTGATTACAAAGTGGTTGCCAGACATTGTGCATAACTAAAATGCCTACAACTGCGAACACCTGAACCAACTGGAGGGTAATGCTCAAGCCAGGTGCTGTGAAATAAAAATGTGAAAAACTCTGCCGACCATGTAATGACCCCTCAACACTGATAACCCCCGCACCCAGCAATATTTTACACTGGCAATGACTTTACATCACCCGCGGACATTTCCAAAAAACGTGCCACCCTGTGACTCATGAGCGGCAGAAACAACAATGGAAACGGCTTCGCAGGGAAAGAAAACCAACTGCTTCACGAGTAAAAATTAATTTCGATTTAAAGCTTTCGTGACTGCAGGGATTCATCTTCTTGGTTCTTTCGGTAAAGTCACGTAGAATGGAAATAATAAAATAATACAAATAAAAGATAATTAAATAATTTTCACGACGTTTCGGCCACAACGCAAGCAGCCGTCCTCAGGTGGAGAACAGGTCTGTCGAGAAGACAGCGTCTGCCTTCTCAGGTGGAGAACAGGTCTGTCGAGAAGACAGACTCTGTCTTCTCGACAGACCTTGTTCTCCACCTGAGGACAGCTGCTTGCGTTGTGGCCGAAACGTCGTGAGAATTATTTAATTATGTTTTATTTGTATTATTTTATTATTTCCATTCTACGTGACTTTACCGAAAGAACCAAGAAGATAAAAGTAAATTATTAAGATGCAAGTCCTGATTCGGCATGTAGGCCGATGATAGCAACGTAAAGATGTCGTAACGTCTACTCTTTGTCAGTGCGCTCTGGAGCAAACCCAACGTGGGAAATCTGCCAGGCCGGGTTCAGAATGTCTTGTGACCGTGGTGGCGAATGTGCCGCCTAGAGCCACGTGCTCTGCCGCACGACTTATGGCAATCAGCCGGGATAAGTTCAGCCACCGATCACCAGCTCGTCCTTGTGGATGTTTGTGTGTTTTTTTCCTTCCACGAACGAGTTTTGATAAAAAAAAATGCTGCCGGTTAGTTTCGCCGGGCGAACGCAGACACTCACGGTCGCCTCACGCATCGCTGCCCTCCACGCGCTCGTCGTTATGTCGACGAGCTGCTGTCTGCCACCACAACCGTCGACTGCGTCGGCTGCTCTTTAACGACGGCGCACGCCGACACTTTATTCTCCTCTGGCAGCGGCGTCTGCGACTTCTCGTCGACCGTCGCAGGCTCCTTCACTAAAATGGACAGCACCTTCGGCTGCGCGGACTCCTCCTTGTTCTTGAGCTTCTCAGCCGAGTTGTTCTTGCACCTCTGCTTGTAGAACTTGAGCTTGACCTTCGGGTGGGTGCCAGACTCTGGCCTGCTCCCTGGCGGCCTGCTCTCCTGAGGCTTTCCCGCCGCGGGGACCTGCGCGGTGGCAGCAGCAGCATCGGCGACAGCCGCCGCTTTGAGAGAAACCTCAGAGGAAGACGCGATCGGCTTCCCGTCCGCCGCCCGCTTGCCCTCGGCCGGCGCCGCGTTCTCCAACCTCGGCTTCTTTGGCGGCGCAACGGGCGTCGGCGAAGGATCCCTATTCAACTTGGGCCGCCCGCGCTTCCGTTTGACTGGAACGACAGCGGCGCTGTCCGCCGATCCCGCCGGGCCCGGCTCCGCCGCCGCCACGGCGGCCAGTGAGAAGGGCAGCTTCACGACGATGCTCTTCACGTACGGGCCGCCCTGCTGGTCGTTACGGGGCCTGCCCCTTCCCCTCGCGAAGCCGTGGCCCACGGCGTCCGTCAGCGCCCGACCTCCTCGCCCCCTGCCCCTTCCCCGGCCCCTGCCCCGGCCTCTGCCCCGGCCTCTGCCCCGCCCCAGGCCCCAGCAGCTGGAGGACGTGAAGGGGCGCGCCAGGGAGCCGTTTCCCTTGCCGTCGGAGCCCCCGCGTCCTGCCACCGTGAAGTCGAAGTCCTCGGGCTGCAGGGTGGTCTCTCCCGTCTTGCTGAAGTAGGCGCGCAGCTCCGCGTGGGAGCGAAACTGCTTTCCCACAGGGCTGCAAGGAAAGTGCATGACAATAATGTGAGCGTTTCTTTCTCGGTGTGGGCTACGATTACCACCTGTTCCAGATTTTCATGAATTTTCAGTCTTACCGGGACTTGGTCTGCCAGACTGGCTGTTTTGCCTCGTCCATACGGTGTTTAGCCACCACACTGCGGTTCACGACACTTTAATATCAAGACGCTTCTTCACTTTTCCCATCATATATTTTCAAATATCTTGTAATAATATTGTTAAATTTAACAGATGCGTTAACGCTTATCTCCATAATAGAGGATTTTTTGGGGGGTTAGATCGCGTGTTAAACCCTTATCTATTGTAACTTTAATCTGGTATTTTGGGCATTTGGGACCTGTTCTCAGCAACTATGATTTTAATATATATATATATATGTAAACACAAACGTTGATTATATACGTGAATAAAAAATGTTTTTTGAATCACGTTTTGGGTAGTGCTCAACTCCTGATCACTCCTGATCACAGCTCTAAACCATCTTCTTGGTTCTTTCGGTAAAGTCACGTAACTTTACCGAAAGAACCAAGAAGATGAATCCCTGCAGTCACGAAAGCTTTAAATCGAAAAGCTCTAAACCAGTTGTGACCATTCCACATCCATATGTCATCGGTACATTTTTCACAAAATATCCACTTTACACATAATTGTAAATGTTGTGGGTTTACTCTCCAACACACCAGTGTTCTGCACTGGTAACGAATTGGCACGTTTTCTTTACGTGACAAACCTTACTAATTGGCCGTGTCGGGTGGTGCCATGTTTATCAACATTTATACTTATGCAACCTGACCCAAAAACCTCTTATGGAAAACATCCACTGTTGATGAGAATAGGTGTTCCCCTTTTTCTGGCAACAAAACAGGTGTTAAGATGTTAAAACACCAAACTGAAACCTTTTACAAGGAATCCTGTCTGCATTAACCACAATACTTGTGGTCAGAATGCAAACAAAAAACATACTCTGATAATATATGCATTGTCTTTGAAACTGATTGGTCCACACCAGAGACTAGGCTTGAAAGAAAACTGCCTGGTGTGGACCAATCAGTTTCAAAGACAATGCATTTATTATCAGAGTATGTTTTTTGTTTGCATTCTGACCACAAGTATTGTGGTTAATGCAGACAGGATTCCTTGTAAAAGGTTTCAGTTTGGTGTTTTAACATCTCACACCTGTTTTGTTGCCAGAAAAATGGGAAAAACCTATTCTCATATTTTGGTACTGGCAAAGGAGGTCCCATGATCCACTGTTGATGTCCTACAAAGTCCCGGTTTATACACCACAATGCATTAACATACAGCTGCATAAACATATACACTCCCCTCTAGGGGCATTGGGAGATATTCTTATTCTTCCCATTGATATGTCCCGTTTTTGTATACCTCGTAGGTGGCAACAGATATGGGAACTCACACCGGAGTTGCTCTCACATTGCCAGGGTTGCCAACTTTCCCATTTTTAAAAATAAAAATCGGAAGGTGGGGGGGGCGTTGTGGCGCAATCCACTGCTGGATGAGGGCCTCCCCATGCTGTGCAGGTAATTGGGGGTTATTTTACCACACTTCACCGCACGAGTCAGAGCGGTCTGGTGACGGCAGGGAGCACACACATGGGAGCGTAGACGCACAGGGCAATTGGTTTTGCTGCATTCCCACCTGCTGTGTGCAGCGTAGCACCGCAGCATCCTATTACACCTGTCATGCACGGTAGTCCCTCATTCCGCACAAACGCAGGGATGGCCCCACGTAGGTTCACAATAATTTGACGAGGTTGGGGTTAAGATTCGAGGTGATTTGGTCGCCAATTAAGTACCCTCGGCACGACCTGCACACGCCTCTCATCCAGCGGTGGAACGACAGACAGGCCGTGCGTGCATGTGCCCAGTAGACACGCGAACGTCGGCATGCGCCCGGAACCCTGAGCCCAACACCGGGTGTTCCAACGTTTACGCACGCACGTCCGTCAGTTCGCCCGCGCGGCCGGCACGGACACTCACTTGAATATGTAAACGTCGTACTTCCCGGCGGAGCGGCCCGCCTTCCTCTGCTTGAGCTTCCTCACCCAGCCGTCGGGCAGCGACGGGTCGTCGAAGAGCGGCGGCGCAGGTCCCCGGCTGGGCCTCCTCCGCTTCGGGTGCACCGACACGCTGCCCGTCCCCATGACCACGCTCTCGATCACGGCGTCCACCGAGTTGGCGAGCGCCCGGCCACCGACACCGCCACCGCAGCCGCCGCCGCCGCCACCCATCATCATCGCGGCGGCCGCCGAACCGGCGTCGCGCAGGAAGAGAACGTCGCACTCGTCGTCCGCTTTGGCGGGCGCACAACCCTTCCCGGCGTCGACGGCATCGTCGACGGAGCCGTCGGCGGTGCCGGCGCGGCTCAAATCTTTCGCTGCCGCTGCTGCCGCCGTTGGTGCGGCTGCGGCTGCTGGTGCTGTTGCCGCCGGTTCTTCGTCCGCGGTTTTATTCTCGCTCCTCGCGGCTTCTTTGCAGAGTTTGTCGCCGTTCGCTTGGCCAGAGTTGGCGGGAGGTTCACTGCGAAGTACAGGTTGCGCGAGTTAGTACGAAACGCTTTGCTCGTGCGATTTTTTTTTTATCACGGGGAGGGATCCTATTCCGGCAGCGTGTCGACGAAAGGGCTGTGCGTGTACATCAGCGGTGTAACACAACGTGCAGCCGGATCAGCCAGTGTGGGCGATATAATACAACGCTTAGATATCCGACTTAATTACAAGTGAGATTACCCCAACATTTAGCTATGAACTAGTATCAGCGACGTAACCCAACATTTACATCAGTGACAGTTTCAACAATTTATTCGGAATTTCCAGCCCTTTGGCGATCACTGTTCGAAAAATGCCTCCCCATGCCGTACGCGTCATGGAGCTTGCTTCCCTACACTTCACCACGCTGGTCAATAAGGGGTTGGTGAAGATGGAGTGTGACCCAGGATGGGTTTAGATACCACTGATCGCTAGCAACGCCTGGGAATCAAATTCATGTCTCCGGATTTCTAGTGCAGTGTACGAACTGCTAATTCAAAAATGCGTCCACATCTGTATACGGACATTCGGGTTGTGAAACGATATGCGCTAAACTGATAACTGCATTCATAATCGATTACCAGTCAGGAACCGATAAGTGTGTGTGCACTTGCCAATGCTCCCATCTTCGCCTGCACTCTATAAAAGGTGCCAATGTTCCCATTAGCAAGTACAAACGGCACGGCGGTCTAAGTCAAAGAATGGCAAGTCCAGTTTTCTGCAAATCGTAACACCACTCTGGCAGCTCTATTCGTTTCTCAGTTTAAAATATAAGCGCGTTACAGTTATTCAAAGACGTTTCTACATGTGTGTGGGTCAAACCTATTATGTTTTTCATGCAGCTACCGGTAATGCGAAAACACTCTCTGAAGAATGTTAACAAACGTTAAATTACTCCTAATTTGGAGCGTTCGTGACTGCAGGAAACGTAAAATTGATAACCCAGTTAACTGACGATGAGCTGTGCAGGTGGCATGAGCCATGCTTGCGAAAATATAAAATAAATAAACCATCTTTACACCTGCGCTGATTAATTATTATATATTCCTCACTCTTCAAGGGTCATTGGCTCGAGGTCCTAAGTGACCTCAAGCACGCAGCGGGAATGTAAGCCGGTCACTCTTAAGAAGAGGCAATAAAAACAATAACAACATTCTACACACTCCACGGAAGGTGAGCAATATGTATTTATGTATGTTGAACTTCTTTCGCACCATACATAGTCAACCGTGTAATCGTAGGTGCGGGGGAAGGACAACAAACTAAACACAAAAAGCAGTTCTCAAGATTTAGTTTTTCAATCGAAGTTTGCAAGTGCATAGCTCCAGTGGCTTCCAAATATCGGTAGGAAATGCATTCCAGACGGCCACAGAAGTGCATATGACAGCGTGCGATGCAATGTACGATGAACTTTTTTTAGCACCGTACGTAGACAAACATGCAAGTCGGAGGTGCGGGCACACACGTTTAATAGCCTGACACAAGGATTGCATTATCCGTTTTTAAAAATCTGAGCCACTCCTCTGTATATTATAAAGTACAGTTCTAGAAGTTGTCAATTTCAATATCACCCCAATCTATATATGAATATGGAATTCGTAATGAATAATGAATATTCGTGTCAATACACTTCTGGATGGCCTCCCCACACCGTGTTGATCACGGGGGATTGTTTGACCACACTTCACCATGCTGGTCGCTGTAGGCTGATGGAAGATGTTAGCCGTGGCCAGGAATTGAACTCAAACGGCCGGTTTTTTTTGCGCAGTGCGCTGCTTAGGCACTTCCAATGCCTCTTCACCCCCCCCCCCCATATCAGCAATAAATAACTTCGGGGCCAGGCAAAGGCTCATTGATATCAACTGACTCGAGTTCAATGGAGGCCTGGGTCAAACGAATCAATGCAGTAAACATGTGTTAACAGATAAACAAAACGAACAGAGTACACAGCCTCAAGCAGTACGAGGATATTACATAATATAATCATAACTATGTTTATAAGAATAAGAATACACTATAAAAATGTAAAATTATATATCCTGTATGTATATATTTTTTTATCATGCAATAGCAAGTTGTACAATGGTTTGTTTATGTATTAAATAGTTATGCAATGTATGTCAAAAAGTCCTTAATACTCAGGTGATCACATTTTAGTTTACAGTGTTGAATTAAGAAAGATAAAAACATCAATCATTGTGATGGGCACACGAAATCAATTGCCATTACTGTTATCAAATACACGCAGTGACAGGAGGACTGCAAGAGATGGGCTGGTATTTATTCACTAATTATTGCATTCATACTATTGATATTTAAACCATTTGAATGCATTAGTATTTTGATGCTAGCAGTCCAAATTTAATTTTGAAAAGGACGGAAACACAAAACCTCGAAGCTTGTGTAATACACAATGGAATGTACAGTCATACGAACGCAGTTGGAATGCGTTATTGAAAATGTCAATGTCAGCAAATTGCTGTGTGTTTTTTTTTTATGAAAATAGACTTTACGAATGCCGCAACGCAATTTCTGCAATTTTATAACCACGCTCGGCCACACGACCTGATTTATTATATCGGCAGCGAGCGACGTGAAATGAGCCAAACGAATTCACGATGTGATCAAATGACGGAGGCAGATTTAAAAATATATATATACTGCTTCTAAAAAATACTGCATACCCGTGGCAGAAGAAGAAGAATAATTGGCGATCACAAAACAGGGTGAATGACTGCACACGAAATGCGCAATCCAATGCTGCACCCCCCCCCCCCCCCCCAGCGAACGATTCAAATGAACGTTTCAGTCGACGCACCTGCAAAGGGGAAGGGCTCGGGTGTGTGTGGGGGGGGGGGGGTATCGACACTGTGTTTGCATGCGATGGTCAGGCGAGGCAAAAAAAATCCAATAACGCTTCATCACCTCACCTCAACTCCACCACCACCACTCCATTCGCAGTCGCTGCCATCTTTGCGGGTCGCGAGCGCACGAGCCGATTGAAGGGAGAGAGACGGGGAGAGGGGGGCACGCAGAGAGAGAGAGAGAGGGGGGGGGGCCCGCTTGGTCACACGTAGCCACGAGATGGCACCAGCGGCGTGGCAACCACACGCTGGGACAACAACAACAATGACAACGAGAGGAGGATGATGAATAAGAATAAGAAGCAGCCACGGAGGGGGGCACCCACGGTCGGGTTTTGGGGTCAGTGCGTAAAGTGAGTTTCGAGTGGCGTAGCCCCCCGCGGCCTCGCCGGGGAGATTATTATTACTGTGATGTGAGCCGGTTATTGGGCGACATTCAGAGAGACGACTCAGTTGTCGGCATTGTCGCCTGTCACGCGCTGGATACGTGAGTGTATGCTGGACTTTTTTTGCACCGTACGTAACCAGCCGATAGGAGGTGCATGGCCGAAGTTAGCAAAGACACAATCCAGCAGTGATAACTATGAGCCAGTTATCAATGATACAATCTGATACTGTATCTAGGTGCCTGATCGTGTTATCTGTAATATGGCCCAGCACTGAGAAACACGGTTTAGGTGTTAATTACATAATCTAGTACCACGATTCATCATCGTGATATTTGTACTACGGCCCAACATTGATATTTACGAGCCATTTATCAGTGGTTTAATCTCACACTTTCATACATGACTCAGCTGTAAGTGGCATTATCCCAACATTTAGAGATATGATCCAGTTATGAGTGGCATGCACATTATCAGTTCACAAAGATTGCACCTATTTTCGTCAGATCTCAGAAGATAAGCAGGGTTTGAACCTGGATAGTGATTGTACATGTGCACATATCATTCACATCACCCAACATATAGATGTGGCGTAATTGCCATTGACAGTTTCATCAACATTGGAAAATAATTCATGTAAATGTGTCCATCCGCTGTTGGATGATCATGGGGGCTATTTGACCATATTTCACCACACTGATCAGTGCGGGTTTAGTGAATGGTGGCACCCAAGATCGATTCAGATATTACTCGCCACTGATGTTAGCCGTGACTGGGAACCAAACGTAGCAATCTCGGATCACATCATAGTGCCCTAACCATTGCACCACCACCACCACCACCACCCACCACACTCCTCAGCAATTAGTGCGTTGATTTAATATCAATGAAAGCATATTACATAAAGACTCAATATCAGTCGTATTTCCCAACATGTAATCGTATAGATTAACGGCACGACCGTTGGTGATTTAACTGAACACAACACTTACTTGACCGGGATTCACTGCTGACTTGTGGCCCCCAATGCACAAGCGTCGCACAATTAAGAACCATCAATAGGCAATGTGCATACTGTATTGGAAATCATTATCACCCTCTGGCCGAGTGAGGCAATGTCAACCCCACCAAGTGGAAGTCGGGTTTCCCAAGCCTCAGACTCTGCAAACCGCATTTATGCATGGTTCATGCATAAATGCGATGGACAATTAAAAAAATAAATCTGTCGTTCTGTAAAGACATACACAATTTAAAATATATCCAGCATCTGATGAGTGATCACTCCGTGACAATGAACAAGTCAAACGTGGTGGTGTGTATGTTGACCTTCTTTCGCACTGTACGTAGCCAACCGTTCTAATGGATAAACCCGCGTCCGCCATATGACTGTGGAGTTGGCACCACTGGCTCAGGGCTGTTAACGGAAGTTAAGCGCCACCTCAGTGTTGATTTGATCACTTGGAGTTTGACTGAAGGTAACAGCATCTCAACGTATTTTACAGGAGGGGCGAATCGTTCCTAAACACATTCACTGAGAATGTTTTGGGAAGTTTCTAGAACGGCGTTCTTCATGGCAAGGCCCGCAGGTCACTGGCAGCCCCTGGTGGCCTTTAGTGCGGCCCCCAACAGGACACAAACACCGAAAAGCACCCCCATCATCATCGTGCTGCTGTCAAACCCCCAATGGTTTAAAATGTGTGGTGGCCTTCACACCAAGGCCGTAATTATAACAGATATTGGGGGGGACACATCCACACCCCCCCCCCCCCAATATTCAAATATGCTCAAAATGTCCCCCCCCCCCCAATATATTGCTATAAAATAGATGTATGTTTATATTATTGTGGTTATGGTTGTACTTTATTAATCCCTAATCTCTGCCATTACATACAATGAAACAAGAAAAGAAAAAAGAAAAAACAGAGCAATGTAATACAAAACATTATTGGACATTATTGTAAAAAAAAAAATCCATCCTATGTGTTGGTGAATTTTTTTTTTATTTTAGACAGAAAATTAGTTTTCAAATAAAAAAAAACTCTGGGGGGGGGGACCCCCAGACCCCCTGGAAGATTTGGTCCCTCCCAACGTTAACTCCATGGCTACGGCCTTTCTTCACACTGATGTTTTATCGATGAAAGTAGCCCCTCCCTCTGAAGATTAGTTAAGAACACTGTGCTAGACCCGTATGCACATCTTATTTTCAACAGAAAAAGTAAAATTACCCCCAAAACTAAAATACAGGTAAAAATAACAATTGTAAACTACAGTAAGCGATCATTATAAATGAACAATAGAAATGTATCTGGTTCACATAGTTGGTATTTTTCCTTAATGACTCTCTAACCGGCCAGGTGGCTACCCGGGCTAAAGCCAGTGGCTCGCAATCGTAAGGTTTGCAAATTCAAGTTCAAGTTCATTTATTAGGTATAGCCCTGTGAGACATTCGGCTCTTGAATCGGGTGCAACCGCAACAAACAAAAAACATGAACAAAAAACATCTTAAAGTGAATATGTGACTAAGTGCAAACAGAAAATCCAAGAAAAGACAGCAAAATATTGCAGAAAAAACACATCAGCCCATCATCCCTTTCGGGTCGATAAATTTGATACCACATTTTGGCGAAGTCAACAGTGGTTGTCCTACAGACACACTTGCCCCCACCACAATAACACGGCTCAGTGCTGCAACCGGGAGACACGAGTGTCGTAGCCGCATGGCTCAAATGGAGCGGAGAAACCACTTTTTAAAATATTTTTTTACTACAGCAGAGAAATCCACAATTAATTCCAGACCTGCCCCTGCCATAGCAATGTGGAATTCCCACCATTCACTCAGCGCTGTAAAAAAAACAAACAAACAGGAGCTGAACACCAACTCAATGCCCATTTGAGCGGCAAATTGCTTTCGTGAGTGATGACGATTGCAGACTTCGTGAATATCATATTCTTTTGTTTTCTCGCTGGTTTTCGTGAATAGCACGTTGTGGCTTGCGAGGTGGGTGGGGTGGGGTCACCCCCCCCCCCCTCCAGCACGCTCGACGTGCTGACGTCACAGGGGCACTACTTTCTGTCTCGAAGCCCGCACGGGAAAATGGAGGCAGCTTCTCGCGATTGCAAGCTCCTTTGAAACGGAAGGATTTCAAAATGAATTTCACAAGTGGCCACATTTCAAAATTTGAGGGATGTTTTTTTTTCTTTTTTACCCGATGATGATGATGATGAAAAAAGGCGTTGCGGGCACTATGTGTAAATCTAACTTTATTTATTATTTGGTTTAAACACGGCTTTTATATACTGTATGGATGGATATCATAGGCGGCGTTTGGGTGCAGTGGTGAGGACACTTAGTGGTGACCCTGCTGGCCCTTGACATTCTAGACTCATCATCGTCAGCCATGATAACTCCACTGCTGGATGAAGGCTTTGGCAAGCAACCTTCACCTTTATCCCGCCACGCAGCAATCCATCCTGTACCTGATCTCATCACTACATGTCGCCAGAATCAGAATATTTGTACCGGAGGAATCCGATGAGCAATGAAGCTCATTTTTTCACATTTGTCCAGTAGGGGCGGCTCAGAACGTTACAACAAGGTCACCAAATAATTAAAGCAAACATAAATACAACTACACATTTATTTTAGCAGGCAATGCCCACTGAGCTACGTGGCTCTTTTTTTTCAGAAGTGACCTGGCCACAACGACAGTTCAACTTCTTGGTTCTTTCGGTAAAGTCACGTAGAAGGGAAATAATAAAATAATACAAATTAAACATAATAAAATACAATTCTCACGACGTTTCGGTCACAACGCAAGCAGCCGTCTTCAGGTGAAGAACAGGACTGTCGGAAAGACAGCGTCTGAATGAATTCAGCCGCTGTCTTTCCGAATGAATTAAGACGCTGTCTTTCCGACAGTCTTTCCGACAGTTTTTCCGACAGCCCTGTTCTTCACATGAGGACGGCTGCTTGCGTTGTGACCGAAACGTCGTGAGAATTGTATTTTATTATGTTTTATTTTTATTATTTTATTTTTTCCCTTCTACGTGACTTTACCGAAAGAACCAAGAAGATGAATCCCTGCAGTTACGAAAGCTTTCAATCGAAACGATAGCTCAACTTAGTGTCTCATCACGTGGAAATGTATAGCAGCCAAATACTCTCAACGCGTGTTTCTAAATGTGGAAGGAAAAACCGGAGGACCCGGAGAAAAATCCATGCGACCACGGGGCGAGAGGCACGCAAACTCCAAATATACAGCAGGCGTCAGGGTCGAGATTGAATCCACGACTTCCGATATACCAGGCGAGGTAGTCAACATTTCGCCACCGTGACTCGTCATCCCTTCTAGCGGCGTGCCCTGCCCAAGCCCACAAACTGTTCTTAAGAGTTTGGATGATGTCATTAATTTGTGTACGTTCTCGAATCTACGCTTTCCTCTGTCAATGACATTAAAAGTATTTGCACCATGCTGCTTCGCACACTTTTTCTCTAATTTAAATGCATGACCCCGTGAACCATGCCATAGTAATAAACACTGATTCAAAAGTTCTTCATAAGAGACATTGGCATGTTAATTTTAATTGTCACGGTCCAATTCTATGCTATGGAAAGTTATCTATGGACCAGTCCTGCCACCACCACCATCACCACCCCATTCACTAACCTGCACTGACCAGAGCGGTGAAGTATATGGTAAAACAACCCGCACGACCAAAAC